GGGGTGTCAGTGCAGGAAGCAGTGCAAGCCCGCCTGCAGCCCAGCCCTGCTCCTCAGTGCAGGTCAAGCCTCAAGGTGACAGCAAGCTCTGCCCACCGACCTGCATCCAGCATGGTGTCAAAAATTAAAGCCAAGTGATCGGAATTAAAAGAGAAGTCATACAGAACATAAAACCCAAGCATGAAGGCTACGAAGTCCCTGGATGCTGAAGTATATCAATCATACAAAGGCAGGGCATGGACCTCCCCGTGCGGCGCTGTTCCTCAGGCAATGACCCCGGGGTTGGGCTGCTGCTGTTCAGCAGTGCCAAAGAGGAGCCCGGTGGTCTCGGCCCATCTCACCTGGAGCCCTCAGTGCTGTAGGGCTGGGAAGATCGCAGTGGAAGGGCTGGGAAGCAGCAAGCAGTCCCCTGCTCCTGCCTAAGCTCCCAGCTGGGCTTTGTGCCTGGGAGCATCAGCGCTGCAAGCCAGAGACAGACCATCCCCTGCTCATTAGGGATGCAGTGGAGAAATGCTAAATAATCAGAGGACTGCCTGGCTCTGGAGAGGGCAAGCACCAATTTCTGAAGGGCCCTCCCTCCCCCAGCCCCATCTGATGGGTTTACAGCTCCCGATATAACCACCCCAAAACCCCTCTCACTCTGGTCATAAGATTTTAATGGGATGGAGGCATAGGAGAGTTTGGGGTGGTTCATGTGGACATAAAGCTGAGCTGCCTCAGGACTGAACTCCCTCCAAGATGTCACTGCCCACCTGCATGTCCCGCTGTCCCCCTGTCCCATTATCATCCCTTCTTTGTGTAAATACTGCCCGAGTGCTCTTCCTGCCTCCTGGTCTCCGTTAATTGTGGCCTGGGGGAAAAGCAGATAAGAGAGCACTAAAATTTAACTATGTCTCCACAGATGGTAAAAATAAACTGTGATGTGACAAGGGAAGACGGTGGGGGTGATGTGGGTATGGGGGGACGGCAGCCCTCCCTGCTCCGGCCATGGACAGGGGCTGCAGGCAGCTGTGCTGATGGGGAGATAATGATCTCCTGAGCCCTGCCTGCATCTCAGCTTCTCTCTCTGTGACACCTTTCACAGACAATTCCCCCAGTTCTTCAGCAAAAACCCTGCGGCAGAGCAGGCTATGGAGATGAGCTTCCATCTTGCGCAACCCCTGAGATGCCTCAGAGACACCCCAGGTCCCAGTCCAACAACAAGTCTCAATGGGATGGATGTCCCCCCTGCCACCCACTTCCTTGCCCTGTGTCACAGAATCATAGACTGATTGATTTGGAAGAGACCTTGAAGACCATAGAATCATAGAATGGGTGGATTGGAAGGGACCTTACAGATTGGGTTAGAAGGGACTTTGAAGACCACAGAATCATAGAATGGCTGGGTTGAAAGGGACTTTGAAGCCCTCTTCATCCCCACCCCGGCCGTGGGCTGGCTGTTCCCTCAGCTCAGACTGCCCAGGATCCATCCATGGCCTCAGGTACCTGCAGGGGCACTCACAGCACTGGGCACTGAGCCTCACTGCCCTCTGTGTGAATAATTTCTGCTCTGTGCTGTGAGACCTCACCTGGAGTACTGCGTCCAGATGTGGAGTCTTCATTGCAGGAGAGATGTGGACCTAAAGCAGGAGATGTGAGTACCTAAAGTGGGGCTGTGAGAAAGAACAGGGCAGACTCTTTAGGAGGGTCTGCTGTGATAAGACAAGGAGAAGTGGTTTTGAACTGAAAAAGAACAGATGTAGACTGGATATAAGAAAGTTCTTTATAATAAGGGTGGTGAGGTCCTGGCACAGGCTGCACGGAGAGGTGGTGGTGCCCCATCCCTGCAGACAGCCAAGGTCAGGCTGGATGGCTCTGAGCACTGCTGGAGCTGTGAGTGTCCCTGTGCACTGCAGGGAGTGAGACCTGATGGCCTTTAAGGGTCCCTTCCCACTCAAACCATTCTGTGATTCCCCCACCATGAGGTTATCAGCAGAGCAGTCCAGGCTCTGTGCAAAGAAAACAACATCAGTTTTGTTAGAACAAAAGCAGAAGCCATTCAGAGAGATGGTCTTTTTTTCCCCTAGGACCTCACGAAACTACACCAGCACGTAATGCCTCAGCGCCTTGTGTGGGTGCATCCCAGCAGCACGCCAGTCCAGCACTGAGGAAAAAAAGGATGCACTGCAGGGAGGAATGGTGGGGAACTCTCCGGGCTCTCACGCTTTGCTTCAGACCCAGTGTTTGCAGTACACTCCGCATCTCATCTTTTCATAAGGAACTCTTACCAGGAAACAGTACAAAAAGGGGGCATTTCCAGGCGGAAAAATTGGTCTCCCAACGCAATTTTTCTAAAAACTCTTTTTTGTTCGCAACTCTTCTGGGGAGCGAATCCAGCAGAGTGTAACGTGCACTCCTAAATTAGTTTCCAGGCACTTGGGATGCTATATTATTCATTTTTTCCAAACATTAGGTAATGCCTTCTGCCCCTTTCAAAGTCTGCATGAGGGGTCTTTGATGCATTGTGTGACTTGAAAGGTGGAGGGCTACAGAAGCGTTTCTTTCAAGTCCTCGCTTTTTATCAAGCATGTTCTGTTCTGCTCGCTGTAATGCACACAATGGCACGAGAGTCCTGACCTGCTTCACGTCTGATGGGCTGAGATCTCGGATGCATGGGATAAAACAGCCATTCCTAGCCATACTGCTTAAACACTCACAGCCCTATTCAGGCAAACAGTACCCAGGGGTCCACCACGGTGCTGAGAGCGGCAGGAATGGGCACTGTAATGGCTGAGCAATGCAAAAGTGGGGAGCGACTCTGCTGCATTCGCTCTCCTTCCAGTTCACCTCAAGGTCTGGAGGGAAGCAGTGCAGAGCCACTCGTAGTAGCCAGATGCATTTTTCCTTAGGAAAGCATATGGTGTGTGTGACCACGAGTGCCACTGTGCACGTCTGCAAAAGTAAAAACAGTACAGCACAAGGCACCGAAACCAGCGAGTTTTGTCTCACTGTGCTGGCACATCTCAGGGAGCAGAAGTGAAACTGGCAGAGCAGAGCAAAGGGCAGTGCTGGCATCTCAGAGCATCACTCACTACCTCTTGGGGCACGGTTAGGAGCAGTGCTGGCATCTCAGAGCATCACTTGCTGTCTCTGGGGCAGCGATAGGCACATGGGCTTTGGTGGCCACAGCTGTCTACTCCACAGCGAGCCAGAAAGTGATGGCTGTTGGTCTACAGTAAGTCTCCTTTTTCCTACAAAATCCCAGATTAGTGACTGCCCCTGTCCAATAACACAAAGGACCCAGGACAAAGATGCTAAGTGCAATCCACCCATACCAAAGCAAATATATTTCAGTACCAAATTAAATGCTTGTCCTGTAGACGATTGCACTGGCACATTTCTATCAAAGTACCAGGCTGTTCTGTGTTACCTTGCTGGTCTCATGCCCTAGGAGTAGAACTACCTTTATGGCAGTTCAGAAAGGATGCAGGGAGCCCTTTTCAGGAGCCCTCTTAGTACCCCTACCACAATCCCATCAGGTTGTGTCCCATGTGTGATGGAACACTGTCACCCAGCTGTCCTGCTGGCAGCAAGCTGGCAGCTCATTAGTTTGTGTCCCACAAATCCCAGCTGCAGATAAGGAAGCTCCAACAATCTGACTGTTCATCAGCTTGCAGGTTGGGAGAGGAAATTATTTTCTATCAATACAACGGCTCGATTCCTTCCTGGCAAATTGGAGTTTCTGCTTCTCATGGGGACTCTGCCAGCACAGGGATGGGAACGATCGCTCCTGAGTCACAGAAAGATGCTGTCATGGCCAAGTGGAGCATCTGCACAAATGGGGACTGAAACTGCTTCTTTGAGGGAGGGAGAAAAGAAAAAGGGAACAGAACTGCAGAAGAAACATCACCAGTTCGTAAGACCCAGGCAGAGCCAACACAAGGAAGCCTGTGTAAGAATGCAGAATGTTACCAGAATTACCAGGCACCATCAAAGTCCGACGTGCTGAGCAGCAATTTTTTTACTGCTAAACATGCTGCAAGCGGATGTTTCATACACTGAATCACTCTGGGACTGTTAGAGCTGTTCCAGCTACAAGAATCAAACCCCAGCTACCACAAGTGAGGAGAACCCCACTATCACACCATAATCACGCACCCCATACCCGTGTGGACCCCAGCCCTGTGAGCAGCCCTGGGGCACAGCTCATGCCCAGCCAGCAGCCTTCCCAGCTCCTTGTTTACAGCCAAGCAGGTCGCTCCCCCTGGGAAAGCAGCTGAGGTATTTTCCTGCTGATTACAGAGGAGGGAGTGGGGGGTGTGGGAGCTGCAGGGGAGTTGGGTCTCTGCTTCAGGCCCTGATTAAAGGCTGTGGGGAATGAAGGGTGGCTCCGAGGCAGCTCTGCTGGCAGGATGTGGGGAGCAGAGGGCTCTAGGGTGGATAGGGTGGAGCGAAGACAGATGTAACGAGGCTCAGAATGCCTACATAAGGGTCCTCCTCTGCACTTGTCTAAAGAAGAGCCCTTCCCAAAGCCCATTCTCATCTGTCTATGCCACCTTGCTCCACAAAGCTCGCACTCAGCTTAAAGTATGCATCTCCCCAGGGCCCATCCACCACTCCCAACACTGCACGCATCCTTGTGGTGCAGGAGCAGCACAGACATATGGATAACCCTTACACTGAAACACGTGTAAGGCAGCACTGGTGAACACAAAGGTTTGCTCCACAACAGAGGAGCAAGGGGCCTGGGCTCAGCCCCACCATGAGCTCAGCCAGCATGCAGCAGGCAGTCCCACAGCAGAGCATCCCACCTGGTGCAGTGCAAGACAGTTCAGGTAAGCAGCTCTGGATCCAGCTTTGACATGTCTGAATCAGCTCAGATCATTAAAAAAAAAAAATGTTCCTTTCTTACTGCTGGAGAACAGTAGGCAAGAACCCAGCTCCTGCATGACAGCTGCAGAAAGCCTTGAGATGACACTCAGAGCCCAGGCTGCAGCAAGGCCAAGCACAATGACAGCCAAAAGCATTACCAAACATTGTTCATATCACTTGTGTGAGGCTGCAGTGACCCTGCTGCCTGCTCCTTCCAGCAGCACATATTCATGACTGCATCTTCCGTGGATTTACAAAGCGGCAATTAGCACTTCTGTCATTTATAATGGGAGGGGATCGTGTCCTTGCTGGAGCTGATTTGTGCTGATCCATCAGTGGCACAGACAGCACAGCCTTAGCTCCTGCAGAGGTCCCTGGTGAGAGGAGGGCAGGGCTGGACCCACAGATGTCACAAAGGAAACAGGAGCATCACTTTGTGTCCTGCTTCCCTGTGACTGTTTCCTGAGAAATAGCAGAGGGGAAAAAAAGGAAAGGGAAGGGAAAGGGGAAGGGGAAGGGGAATGGGAAGGGGAAGGAGAAGGAGAAGGGGAAGGAAAGGAAGAAAACAACCACAAAAACTTTCATCAGATCCCAAACTGCACTTCTGGTTAAGAAGTCCTGCCCTGCAGCAGCTCCTATCAGGCCCATGGTCCTACTGCGAGCAACCTATGGCCAGCTCAGCTGTGTCCCCTTTCCTCACACAATCATAAGGTTGGAGAAGACCTCCAAGATCCCCAACCCACCATGCCTACTGACCACGTCCCCAAGTGCCACATCTCTACAGGCCTTGAACATCTCTAGGGATGGGGAGCCCACCATGACCCTGAGCAGCCTGTGCCACTGCATCACCGCTCTTTGGAGGAGATATGGCTCTAACATCCAACCCGACCCTCCCCTGGAGCAGCTTACGTCCATCATACCCCATCCTATCACTGTTACCTGGGAGCAGACCCCCACCTCACCACAACCTCCTTTCAGGGAGTTGTAGAAAGCAATAAGGTCTCCCCTCAAGCCTCCTCTTCCCCTTGTGCTCCAGAACAGGGCTGAGTCACAAAGTCACCTAGCAACACCCATTGATGTAATGCATCTCCAAGGACAGGTGGGAGATAGAGAGGGAAATGGATCCTGCTCACCCACTGACAACCCAGTGTTATGGCCTTGTTCCCTGGGGGGATGATAATCACCCATCCGTGTCCTTCCACAGACACAATGTTTGGATGACCAAGGCCCAGTTGAAAACATCACCTTGCACTCACAAGGACTGGAGACAGCAGTCTGTGTTGCCAAACAGGGAGCTGATAGCTCTACGTGGGTGTTGGGCTACTGCCAATGGGTGCTAGATTGGAGAATGAACCCCAGATGGCCACCAATGGGCTCACTGGGTGGCTCGTTGAGTGGCTCATAGGGGGCAAAGAGGCTCTGAGCTGCAGTGAGCAGGCTGGGGTGGCTGGGGAAGGTCAGGTTGGATACTAGGAAACATTTCTCCAAAGAGAGGTGATGCACTGGCTCAGGGAGGTGGGGAGTCCCCATCCCCAGTTCCCCGTGTTCCAGAACCACGGAGATGTGGCACGTGGGGATATGGTCAGTGGTAATGCTGGGGTGGGTTGGGGATCTTGGAGGGTTTCTCCAATCTTCATGATTCTGTGGTTCTATTTAGGGACATGGGGGTGAAGGGCTTCCCACCAAGCCCTGAAGGTTGCAAGGACAAGGGGATTTCTCCATCAAGCCTTAGCAGCATGCAGTCATCCGGGAATCACTCCAAGCGACAAAACAGCCGCTGCTTTTGTGCAATCTCTGGATTTGCTGTGTTTGACAAGGGCAGAGCAAATGCTGTGCGTTCCCACTTGGTAAATTTTACATGAGATGAGTGACACAAATGCTCAGAGACATGTGTTATCACGGGTCAGCTGGGCTCAGGTCCCCAAGCAGCTCCAAGCTGGCTCCATCCCTCGTGCATATCATCTTTTCCAGGCAACCCCAGCACAGGTTTACTGGGGCAGGGTCTCATGACATAGGCAAGAGAATGGGAATCCTCATAGCCTCAGGTTGTGCCAGGGGAGGTTCAAGCTGGATAGTAGGAAAAATTGATTCGCTGAAAGAGTAGTGATGCAGTGGCACAGGCTGCCCAGGGAAGTGTTGGAGTCCCCATCCCTGGAGGCATTCAAAAACCATGGAGATGTGGCACTTGGGGACATGGTCAGTGGGCATGGTGCAGGTGGGCTTAGACCCAGGGATCTTATTGGTCTTCTCCAACCTTAATGATTCTGTGATCTTCTTCCTTTAAGGTAGGGCTCCACCCTAAGCCTTTATGGGTTTCTCACTCATAGGAAAGCACTAACAACATTTTCCAAATCTGCTCAATATTTGGAGTTTTGTGCCAGGACTTGGGATCCAGGGGCTCTGACCAATTTAATAACGGGGAAGATAATTGCAGGGTGCACACATTCAAGGAGCAGAGAAGAGCCACAAGCGATAATCTTTGCAACAGGCGGCACTTCTCCTTGTCATGCAGCTCAGGCTGTCAATACGAGGATATTTAGGCAGCAAACAAAGCAGAGAACACAAGTGACTTTCATAACATGCTGCAGATTGGCCCGGTGACCACAGCAATGTGGGCTGCAGGGCCATGACCAACCCCAGAAAAGGCCTTATCAGCAGCTAACGAGTCCATCTGCTTTGAAAGCACCCAGCTGCTCCCACCTTCAGCGTGACCTCCTTCCTTACCCCCGGCCCCAGGTTAGATCATTAGCTTGATGAGTAACCACCACCACTGATGACTAATGGCTCGTTTGCTGCCGAACAGCCTAAAGTGATTCAGCAAGGGGGCAAAGAGCTCAGTGCAGGTCACTGTCACCGTGGATGAGTGCCGCCGTATTTATTTTGGGGAGCCTTCCCAAGGAAGGCTGCAAATACCTGCAGTGCACTGGCTTCCTGCCTGAGAGCATCAGGGATGGCCCAGCTCTGTGGAGGTTGATGGATGCACCACCTCAGGGCAGGCTCTGGCAACACACTTCCCTTCGGCAATGCTGGGCTTCAGCTCTAACATCTACTGTGGTGCCCTCGTGGCATTTACCAAATTGAACAGAGCACTGCTGGGAGCAGCCCGGGCTTCCCTCATTGCCAAATTGCATGTGAGATGAAAAGCTGCCCAGCAAACAGGCTTCCTGCAGCTTTCCTTGCAGTCACAAGTTCCATTCTGGCTTCTTGAGGTGGTTTCTAGAGGAACCAAACACACCATGCTGGGCATGACACCATGTTTCTAATAACCTTCCTGGAACACATCGCCAAAACGCCACATCAGCTCACTGGTGAGTCTGCTCCTCACCATGCATGCTGGTAGGGGAATCTTAGCACAATGATCTCTCCATCCTGGGGTGAACTACGGAGCTGGGAAGGACCATTTCTGAACAGCCTGGTAATGGAAACACAACCCTGAATTCTGCTCTTGAGGTTGGACCCTAGAGAGTGGAACCATGCTTCAGCCCTGACAAGCCAGCAACTCGAATTTATCCCACCTGTGGGGCAACAGCCAGCAGCACGAGCCATGGGCACAGCCTACAATCAAGATGGTTTTCATGACGTGGTCATCCTAGGGGATGATTTTAACTCTTGGACTTGATGATCCTGGTCTTTTCCAATCTTAATGAGCAGGCATGGAGGGGATGAGTTGGGGTTAGACTCGATGGTCTTGGTGGTTTTTTCCAACCTCAGTGATTCTGTGAGCAGGCATGGTGGGGTTGGGTTGATGTTGGACTTGATCTCAGTGGTCTTTTTCACTCCTAATGGTTCTATGAAACCTGCACCAGTCCCTGACCTGCTGGGTGGGATTCACTCCAGATTAAGACCTCTGAGCTGGGGTGCCCACATGGAAGTGCTGGATTTAGTTGATGAAACACAGGTTCCCATCGCCACGTTAGACTTCCTCAGCTATTCAAGACCTGTGTGTAGTTTTGACAGGTATGGCCCTGGACCTGCATGCCTGCTCATTGACAGCTGGCAGCCACGCAGTGTGCCTGAGGGTAAAGCTAGACACATGTCTAGCAGCTGAATCATGACCTACATGAGTGCTGGCTGCCTCAGCTCTTCCTGCAGTTGATGGGGACACAGAGTCAGCGCAATTCTTAATGTCTGCAGAGCCTTATCAGCACCTCCTTCAGGGTCAAACACCCTCCAGGCTCTGCACTGACCAAACATCCACTGACTGCAACAGAAGATCATCTGTTACAAATACGAGTGCTGCCCTCCCAGCCCAGCCTAAGCGCCAGAGGTTCCTGACAGTGATGGAATGATGGCTCTTCTCCTCTTCCTGGGTAAAAAAATGGAAATAATGGAGTTGGCCATGTTAGGAAAGGGCTGTGGGATCTGCAGATGGAAAGTGTGAGATAGGATCACGCTGCATTGCTATAATAACAGAGGGAAAGCAGAAGCCAGCAGGAGAAACAGAAGGGGGAAAAGCCCCATGTAATAAATAACAGTCTACAGATAATATAAATCGAATGCATTAAAAATCCAATCCTCTGAGAAGCAGCTGCTTCATTTTTACTGTTGATAGCATCAATATAAGAGGGGAAATTACCACCTTGTGCTCTGCAACACATCACACTGACTTTCCCTTAAAAACTCTAATGTACCCTGGATTGCAAAGCCCATTTAAAATTTACCATAAAGCACAGGATCTCATAAACTTTACAGCCCCCAATCACACGCACTCAGAGCTTTTGCTCAGATCCAATGGGCGGCTCAGCCACTGCCGCCTGGCTGCAGACAGCAGATGGGGAGCAGAGCAGGCTGCTGCCAGCCCCAGCCAGTTGGATGGACAAGGAACCAGGCTGCAAAGCAAGCTGGCAGGCAGCTTTGTTAGGAGTGCCCTCGGAGCTGCCATGCACCAGCTCTCGCTTCTGGCACAACGTGGGGTAGTCATAAGCAAACACGATGTGGCCTCGAGTGCAGCTAGAGACCTTGAGCTCTGTGCTGTGTGGTGAGACACACTGAAAATACAACTCTTTGCAAGGTCTTGGGTGAAAAAGCCTGAGTTGTTTCCATGAGTCCAGGCTTGCTCCATCCCGTGCAGAACCTGTAGTGAAGATGGTGAGAGTTTTTAATGAAGGGAGGGAGCGTGCTGATCATCTGCTCCTGCAGGCATGGGTTCCACTCCTAGGTGGATGAGGGACAACTAATGGTGCTCCCAGTTTTGCTCCTACATAAAAACGACTCCTCCTGCTGTTGCTGTGACATAAATCCCATCCTTGTGAGGAAGTACTGAAGATTTTGGTTTAAGCCATAGAGAAAGTGGCCCGTTTCAAGATGCACACTCTTTGGATGCCTGCATCATACACACAGCTCATAAGCTCTGCCTTAAAATTCCCCCCCCCCCAGAACCCCCTCCAGCTCAAAAAGGCAGGAGCTGCAAACACCTGCAGTGCATCATTTTTGCAATTGCACATGAGATTGCCTGAAGAAGGAGCCTGAGGTGGAAGGGTTAACCCCAGCACAAGGCAGTGGACAGGAAGGTCTCCGGGATGGAGCAGCTGATCAAAGGGTAGCTCAGAAGTTATTTAAAAATAAACCAGAAAGTAGAACTTCCAGGCAGTTGCCGCCATAATTACAATGCAGACAACGGAGCCGTGGTGCTGTTAAGGTTACTGGATTTTCCGAGCAGCTGTGTTTAATTTACTTAAAATATGCAAAGCCATCAGGTCAGATCCCATTAGCAGAATCACTCCAGAGCGCTACAAGAGCCCAGCGCTGCAGAACTGCAGAGGGAAAAACACAGGCACAAAATGCCCCTGAAAAAAAGTGGGAGATGATTGTAATGGCCAGTGGGAACATGGCTCTCCTTCCCTCTGGGCAGCAGCAGATGCTGAGTGGTCCCATATCATCCTGGATAGACTCCTAAAGGCAAGAGACAGCAAGGCAATGCTAAGACCCCCAGAACCAGAATCAGTGCCAGCACCTCCACTGACTGTTGTGGGGAAGGTGTTGAGAAAACCTGGAAT